CAACACACACACACACACACACACACACACACACACACACACACACAAACACACACACACACAGAGCACAGACAAACACACACCATTCATGTGGGAAAGAATGGGCCCAGTCTGGATTAGGCTATTCCCCTGCGTAACACTAGACAAGGCATTCAATATCTCTAGCTTTCTCTGTCCAAACAGTATCTTGGCACAGGCTGAGTGGAGGGCTGGAAAATCCCAGAGCTGCTGTTGAGTTTTTGGTGTGACCCACTCTTTTATTATAACGACTCTATAAATGCTTACAGACCCTCAACTTGGCCCGTCCCAAGGAGGGCTTTCAAGAAAGACCCATTACACAAACACACAGACATGTTCACATGACGCATCACTGTAAGGGCACATAAATACACAAACAAACCCCTTAAAGAGGTGAAGATACAACTAAACACACACACAAACTATCTATTCTTTCACTGTGTCCACTTTTCTCTTCAGGAGTCAAGCAGTGGCAGCTGGGAAAGAGACAGCTGGGACTCCTTAGTCTTGCTCCTCTGGCGTCTACACACACACACACACACACACACACACACACACACACACACACACGCACACACAAAAACATCATTTCTCATGCGCCCTGGAAAGAAAATGATCAGTGATGTGGGAGGAAGAAGTGAAAAGAGGGGAGAGGTGGTGGAGAAAGAAAGCAGTTCAGTGAGTTTATTGGAAGACATCAAGCCTGACAGATTTTTTTTTTCGGCATCTCTCGTTCCTGCGAGGACTGTGAGGCTAATAGAGGCCATCAAAGCACTCAGAGACCCTCACCTTGCTGTAGTGTTTCAAGCCACTTAACTCCTGGTCTGAACAGCCTTGGAAACTCACAGAAAGACAAATAAAAAGAGGAGTGAACCCCCCCCCCCTTCACTTCCCCTCCCTCTTTCTTCCCCTACCTCTTACATCTGGAAAATCATCATCTGGCAGCTCACAGTGGAAGCAGCCAAAGCCAGTTTAGATACTGTCTGACTTTTCTCTCCCTCCTCCCTTCCTCAGCTTTTTCTCTTTCAGCACCTCTGGATTCCTCCTGTATATTTTTTTTTTCCACTTTCACTTTGACAGTCTCACCTCTTTACATGCCTTGTTTCTCCTCCTCACTTTTCTGTTGAAGTTTTTCTTGGAAGATTTTGTTGGCAAAGATGTGAAAGTTTTATTACTTCTTGTTTCTCACCTTCTATTCTTTTCTTCCATTGTCCTTTTCTATTTTAAGAACGTCGTCAAAGACCTACATCTGTTTTTCCCTATAGTCTCCTCTATTTAAACTGGCTTGGTGAATTTTGTCTTTACTTTTATATTTTTTTTTTACTTTTGTTGCACATTTTGGTGCAAAACATCAATAAAACGTTCCAGAGAAGTGTTACTGGAAAGGAACAGTTAACACACTTGACATCGTGGGAAATACATTCACTCTTGCTGAAAGTGAGAAGATCAATACCACTCTCATGTCTCTACACTAAATGTGAAACTCCACAAAATAACGCATAAACAACATGTTGTGGTTTTACGGGGGTTATGTGCCAAACTATTTCTTGGCTGGGTACATGAGGTTGCCTGGCAACCAGCTGAGACTCCAGGAAACTAGTGTGGAAATAGTCTGGCACATAACCCTTATAAAACCACAGCATGTTTTTTTTTACACTTTGGTGTTTGCATGGATTAAACAAACAAGATATAATGTGTTAATTAGTGAGCTTTAGAGGTGCTGGTATGCCGATTTTTAAAAAACTTTGGATAGAGTTAGGCTAGCCGTTCATGCCCGTTTCCATCTTTGTGCTAAGCTAAACTGACTGTAGCTTCATACTGTATTTAGTCTATAGACATGATAGTGGTATTGATCCTCTAACTCAGCAAGAAAGAAATAAGCTTTTTACTTGAAATGCCAAATTATACTCAGATTGGCGATCAAGATTACAGGGACAAATCCAAGTTGGCTGCCGCATTGATGGACCTTCAAAAAATCCATAAAGGTTTTGCCTGTCCTATTGTTTCAATCTTTCTCCCAGTCCTCTGTGTGTGCCTGTCATTCAGGGTGTGCATTAAAGCATGCAGTGTTCATGTTCCAGGACTGGGCTAACTTCGCCGACCTGACACTCCCTGTCCACCTTACAAATATTGTAAAGCCAATATTCACTCTGCTTTTGGCTCAGTATTGGTCTCCACCCACTCCTATGAAAAATATCTGGCTATTTAGCTGCTTAATGCTGCACTATGTTCACAAGTTATCACTAACTTTTGTCTGTCTGCTGTTTGGTGTTGGGCAGGTAGTGTAAAGGTTATTTTGCTATAAACAGAGTTTTTTTTCTTTGCAAGGTTGATGAGAGCAGTGATACTGACCGAAACAGTAAAGCTGAGGGCCATAAAACCAAAACAAGAAGCTAAAAGACAATAAAATGCTCAGCAGAGCTGTTGGGTTTGCCACTACAGACAGCTCTTTTTACATTATGTATGGTCAGTTGATCCACTGTGTATATAGAAAAATAGAGTAGTGCAGCTTTAAACACTTATACATTAACAGGGTAAAAAGAACAGTTCAAACTAGGTTTAGAAAAAAAGAGGTAAATAACATGAAAATATGAATCACATTTATTGTTATATTTGGTTGGTGATTATATCACCATAATCTATAGTCAAAGTACAATTGTCTGCCTCATGAAACTTGTAAATAGGAAAAAGCTTGTCAAAAAATGTTAGATTGGGTTTGACTGGCTGTAAGTTTGACAATACTTGCTACTAGAAATTGCACAGATTGCCCTATGTCTTGTTAGGTACAAACAAGTTCTCCAGTTTAATTTCATGGCTATGAGCTATTACAACAGGCCATTGTGCTCCTCTAACCAAAAATATGCCTGAATTTCTCCAGACATCTGTGAGCTTTACACGATGCAAGTCTGGTTACAGAAGATTAACTCCAAACAAACTGCTGTTGCTTCACTCTCCGTACAGATTTTTCTTTTTTTTTTTTTTATTGCCCAGGAATGACCGACCATATGTGGAGAGAAGAGGCAAAATATTGAACAGCTGAGTGTGTACATCAGAGAGCATACATGTCATTTAATAAACAGGTTTTTGAAAAGAAGTATTGAGACTGGAGTTCGTCACCTCCTTTCAAATACTGGGATTAGAAAATATGACTTTAAATTTATTGAATTTAATGTGGAAGCGCTTTGATACTCTCCTACTAAAGGTACTTGATCCAGGAAAATCATGGGAAAGATTATTTTCTCTTTGAATACAAGCTAAATACATTTTTAACAAGGACAAACTGTATGAATAGTTAATTCCACTCACTCCTTTAAAGGCACTTGAGTATAATCATTATTCATCATAATTACTCATCCCCTTCTTTCCAGCCAATGTGTCTCTCTCAGCTCCCTCTGTTTTTGTTTGATTTGGCCAATGACGTGCTGTGAAAGTGATCCTTCCCAGTAAAGCCAGTCATGGTTGACCACTTTGACTCCCCTAAGTAGAGCAAAGCAAAGCGGAGCAGCCACATCTGGCAAAGGGTTCTCACATCTGGTTTGTGTATCAGCTCCTTTGCACGGCCGTCTACCACAGTCTGATAGTATACCTCGGAGACATGAGACGAGATGAGCTACAGACACTCCACTCCAGGGGAGACATGGTGGATAATGGTGAGCGAGTTCATGTTCGGAGGTCAGATTGACAAAGCAGGAAATGTCACTCACTGACAAAATGTCTCACAGTAACACACCTGTGTGTTTCATTGGATCTAAGAACTTTCTAGTGCTCTTTGCTGTTTCATGTATTGTTGCAGAGACCACAAAGAGAGCTAGAAGTTTTTGTTCTTATAGGTCGTAAACTTGCAACAAAGAAGTAAAGAAACAAAAAACAAACTAAAGGCCTTGAATCTTTAAAGCAAGACATTTAACAGTTTAGCAATCACAATAAACTTAATTGAGACCAGACCAGTGTCATTAAAATCAAATGAGACATTTGCTTAAATTTCAATGTTTTTTTTAAGTTAAAGAATTTCACTGGTATAGTGATTAAATTCATCATGCAGAAAGAAAGAAAGCAACATTTTACTAATGGACTTTGCCACCACTTCATCTGTGGTATCTGAATAGTTACATGTAATGTAATGTCGCCCTCTTGTGTCAGACCTGTATAAGGCACTCAAAGGGACTGTTGCTTTGCTTGAGGGTAGTAGTATCTAAATTGGATGGAATAATACTATAATTTATATTAATTAATTATATATTATAATTCAGTGGACGTCTCTACATTTAATCCGATGCCTTTTGTTTGTCCACTTGTCCAGTCTGTTTGACTGAATACAGGAGTGATATAACATGCTTAACTGTTTTATCAGTGTGTAATCTGAAAAAGTTGTGTGTTAATGTCATTAATCAAACATATTATATACTATATACTATACTACTACTAAGTAGCCCCATAGTTGTATAATACTTTACTTTAACACTTTAGAGAAAGAGGATAAAAGCAAAATCATTTCTCTTACTCAGCACAAAGTTTCTTTGTCTTTCTTGGCCTCTAACAGTAGAGGTGTCCATACACAGTGAAAGTGCACTTTCATAAATTTCTCACCATTATAGTGTAATAAAAGACATTTCTAATTACACATGCCTTTTAAGAACAGCAGCAAGTAAAACTACAAGTTTTCTACAAACCAATGCAGACTTAACTTTCAGCACAAGAAATTTTCTACATTTGAATTTGATCATCCCCCCTAGAGTAGGTAAAAATACTAAACAACTTATTCAAACAACATTCAGATTCATTTTTACAGTTTTCAAAATGTCTAATTTTCTCTGTCTAAGTACTGGTCTTATTCTTTGCCTATTTTACTATGTGAAAAACTGATTTTACTGTAGGAAACTGTTTGTCGGAAGTATTTACCAATCAATCAATCAATCAATCAATCAATCAATCAATACATCTACATGTACACCATACACTAAATGACAACATGACAGCGTGGCTGCTTATTTCAATTTTTTAATATCATGCAAAAGAATTCCAATAATCACATAAGCAGTAAACTTTATAAAATTTTTACACTTATTAAGAGAATTGTCAACATAAGACTGTTCTGAGATAGTTTCATCTCTACATAAACATCCAAACCTACTCAAACATTCAGCCATTCTCACCCTCACCATATTCTGAACCTACTGTTCATGTCAGCTGAATCACAAACGAGCGCGTACCGTACACTTTGTTTTACAAGAGGCACTGGCACAGCATCTGAATGCACCATGCGGCCTTGTTTAGGCAAACAGCAGGGGCAGTGATAATATTTGATTTCTCTGTGGTGGAGCTCTGTATTCATTCCAATAATAAAAAAAAAAAACACATTTTTAATTTGGTATCAAAGCAAAATGTATTTGGACCTGGAAAATACAGCAAAATAAATTATTCTTCCATCATCTTCCCCCCTCATTTTGGTAAATTCAATTATTTGAGACACTGCACAATACATCTGTGAAGCACAACTGAATTACACTTAATTTTTTCTTTCTTTTGAAACAAAACAGTTGCAAGTTTGTGCCAAAAAAACAATTCTTAAACATCTTTGGTTGATAACACATTTTCAAGGGTTCTGAGTATTCCATGTTACTACTGTAATGCAGCTGTTTGCATTTCTGATCAGTGTGCTAAACCCAGTTTTATTCCTAAAATATTTCTGTTGGTATTTTTGGAGAAACAGGGCTTTAGTTTTTCTTGTCACTTAAAATAGAAACTCACTGCTGGCCTGTTGCAGGTTAATTGGAGGACATTACCAGAACATGTAAGGGCTGTTTTTGCTCAAAGTACACTTAATATTACCACAAAATAAGAGAAAATAGAGATCAAAATGAATGCAAAAAGCCACAACCAGACTCTTTCAAGAGCAGGTTTTAGTGGAAAATCTCTCTGTTTTGTTCCCCAGCTTCAGAGAGGTCAGAGGTCAATTAGATCTGGAGCTGGTAGTGATTTAGTGAGGAGCTCAAGGACACTTCAGGGTTGAGGTTTCTTTATCTGACTAACTGACAGGTAAGTACTTCCCATTCTGTCCAATCAGGTTAAAATAACACTAATGTGATTCACAGGCCTCAATAGCTGTACCCTGGTCTTATTCAACTGACGTCAGTGATTATGCATTGTGCAAATGAACTGAATAATGTGGGGACTCTTATAAAAATAAGGCCATTCACTTAAACTATTCAAATTGCCGTCACACTGTGCCTGTCAAAGATTTGCCTGAACTTCCATGACGGCAGTAGGACAGAATGAAATCAGCTTTTTTTCTTCCTTTCCAGTTTGAAAATACATGAAAAATAACGACTACCTCATTCACAAAACACAAATACTTCATCTGTGTTTTTAAGACCCTTGTGGTAAACTTAGAAAATACAGCTGTCTAAGAATATATCTTAGTACCTTACTGGCGACTTAACAGCAAGTATTCCAGCATGAGGAATATCACTAATGTACAGCACCATGTTGATATCAAAGTTCTGAAAGGCGGGAAACAGAAAACGAGGAAAACACAAAAGAAGCATACAGCATATTGGGAAAATACCAGATGTGGACAAAACAGTGGTCCGATACACTTTGAATATATTCTTTAAAACTAGTTGACCTATTTTAGACTGATACTAGTCACGTCAGTTTACGCTATGAGAACATATAGAGATCAAAATCAACCAGTTGTTCCAGGTGAAGTGAAGAGGCTCTGTTGCTTTGACATTTTTGCCACTTGATTTTAAAATTACTAGAGAAAATTAAAACTTGTAGCAGCTCTAAAGCCAAATTGTATGATATACAACTTTCCAGGCCATAAAAAGCACTGTCATTACACTCTCCTAAAAAGCCTTTCTTATTGTTTATACAGTAATGATGCAGTCACAGTCTGTTAGGGACACATGGATGACGTTAATCTCTATGTTCTCATCACTTAAGAGGTAAAGTCTCCAAAGACTAAAAAACTGTTGCTTCATTTTTTTTCTAAAAACTCTAAGATGAAATCTTCAAATATGATTTTGCCTAAATCTGAAGGACTGTAAGAGCATGTTGGGACTTAAAGAAAACCTTCATTATTTTCCTAGCTGTGTGTGTGTGTAGTGAGTTGGTTGCTAGGGCTGTTAGGCTTTCTTCTTACAGACATGGATGAAGTAGCAGGGAGCCTGGCTCTGGCCAGGGATGTACGTCTGGAAATCTCCGTAGACGCTGTGCTCCATTTTGCCATTGAAGGCCTCATTCAGCAAACCTTTGAAGCTCTCCAGACAGTGAGGGTAGTAGGACAAACGGAATTTACTAGGAAGGACAAATAGAGCACACACACACGTTATCATTCCTGCAGACAGTCAATACATGTACTTCTTACTGTGTCTAATATGTCTGGGAGTGGAGTCCAGCGACCTTGACTGTATGGGAGTTCAGATAACGACATTACAGAGTCTTTGCGGTGAAACAACAACAACACACACTGTGAGACAAATATTACGAAAACAGTCACACAGAGGCTGCCACAACACTGTCATTATTATATCCTTTTATATCTGCCTATAACATATGCGTGTTTATGATGGGATGAAGAGGCTGTCATTTCTTTGACAAGGAAAACATGACATTAACTGAAAAACATTGTCACAAATACTATATGTTTCATTATCAAACGCAATGTGACCCGTAAGATAACAAGAAATGTGGCAGTAACAAGACAGTTGCTATGGTGTCATGAATCTTTCCCCTGATCGTAGGTAGAGATATCACAAAGTGTTATTACTCCGTAACTAGTTTGTCTTACAGTTTTAAAATAAAGTAGTTGTAGGTCAGAGTTCATCTTCTGTTAAACATGGTATTCTCAAAGTGCTTGTCAAGTCATCTCAAGTGTGTTTGTAAAGCCCAGGGTCACATACAAAGTCCTGTTGGCCTCATGCGTTTCAGCAGTGAGGACTCTAATTTTGTCTGTTAACTTGACCTTCTCTAAAATGTGTTGCCAACATAACAGACTGTGTCAACAGCGTGCTCTTACTATCCTTCAGATTTTACTTGTATCCACTGCAGCAATAGCAACTGGGAGTCAATGAAACAAAACTGGAAACAGAAAAATATTTAATTCTCAATATGAATTCACCTCTCTGCACTGGGTAAAGTGGTGTTGATTTGTCAAGACTATCTTGCTGAACAAAACATGTAAGTATCATGAACTTTTGTTTATCACAGATCTTATTTTCTGCAGTAATCCAAAAGCCAATGTAAAAATCCCATTGGCTTTTCGTCGAGGGAATGGGTTAGTCAACAACAATATGTCATCCTTGCAGCAGTTCATTTATCTGTTAACTGACAGAAGAACAAAATAACTGGCAGATTAATGGATAGTGAAAATAATCATTAATTGCCACCCTGGACATTTAAAAAGTCAGTGTTCACCCATCTGATTAGCCTGACCTACCTGACTTCAGGAAGATTCTGCAGGGCGGCCTGGGGCACATGGATAGTGTAGTCCAGAGTGATCATATGAGGCTTACTGTTGACCCACAGCACCGAGGTGGAGATGTCCTGAGTTAGATCACTCTGCCACACACACACACACACACACACACACACACACACACACACACACACACACACACACACACACACCCACACACACACACACACACATTTATACAGCACACTGGCAAATACAAGTCGACACAGAATACTTCCAACAACTTTTCACCTTCTCGTCAGTATTGTCCTAATGTGAGGAGAACTGAGGCCTGATTAGAAGTGACTCAACAACACCATGAAGTTGCTCTTTTGTTATTGAGTAGAGAGTTGGACCATGAGAGCAGACTCTGGGATTATGGGGGTATCAGAAGTGGATTTTGCTCTAGCACGCAACTGTTGACTTAGTATTTATATCTAGGCCTTCCAGCTGGATAGTTCCCTCTTTGGCTGGATTAAAGAATATGGTACTTGTTATGAGGAAAATAACGTAAGTCAAATATGGCTCATTGCTGTTGGCACCTGCTGTGATGTCTTTGTCTATTTCATATATATGAGCTGTTGCCAAAAGGATGGGTAGCAAACTGCAGGGCTGGTTGGTTATGGTGCGATGTTCCATACAGATACATTTCACCAGCAAAGCAGATGCTACACATGATTTTTGGCAGAATATGTCACTCATCTTTCCATCTTCCCCAACGGCCTTTCTTCCTTAGTACTCCTAACATGATCTCGTTTTCTCCCTATTTGCAAAAATAGTTTTAAAACTCGACAATTTCATGCACATTTCCTTATGTTTCACCAGCGCCAGTTTCACTGAAAATCTCACAATATCCGGCAGGCTCTGACTAGAGATTTAGGTCTTAAACTCAGCTGCTGCTAGGGATGGTGTAAGTAAACCATTCATAAACAATACTGTCTGTCCAACTCCTCTTCATGAAGAAATAAAGAGTGTAGTGCGCAGAAAGTTTAGATTAAAAAGAGGCTTTTTATGTGCCCTTCAGCGTCTTTGATGCCTTTGAATAGTTTTCTCGCAAGCTCACAAGTGTTTTCACTTTTCTTCAGGAATCATTCCAAAACTGATCCATGTCATTCTATCGTCTGTTTAAAATCTAAGTAAATAAATAATAAAGGAGGAAAATGACAGAAAATAAGGAAAACTAAATAATCAAATAAAAAAAAAAAACATGTTTTAGATTCTTATTCACACATTCAATAAAATCACCATATGGCCAAGAAGTTTTTGGAACTATTTGAACTTTAAAAAAAAAAAAAGAAAAAAAAAGCTACACAGAATATTTCAATTGTGTACATAAATAGGGAAATCACAAGCAGGTTCGTGGATGGCCTGGGGCATCGTTACCAGGGACTGAACCCCTCGCACTTTAATGCAGGACTGGAATCAGTGATTGGAACCATGTTGATGATAAAGAGGCTTCATGCTAAGTGGGCAGCTGACAGGTCCTGTCAACATCCAGAGAGCAAAGTATACAAAGCACTGACAGAAGCCATTACTCTGATCACGAGCAGTCAGCTCACATTATACTGATTATGATCTTAATTGTTACACACTGCACATGATAAATCAGATACCAGGATACAGGGAATGAGGCCTTATGGGAAATAAAATGATACATTAGTTATCATTTAAGTCCAGATCTCAGCTTATTGGAGATATATCATTATCAGTGGATATGTTGACCAATAAGTAACAACAGTCAGGCTATAGTACCTTGTAGTAGATGTTTTTGCCTTGTGGCGCCCGACCAGTCTCAAGGATGTAGTCATAGTTACGGTGGTCAATGATGAGGATCCCACCGGGTCTGACCATACTGGCAATGTTCTGAAGGGCCAACTTCTGTTCACTCTGGTCCCCTGAGATCAATACAACATAATCAATGATCAATTACAAATATGGAGAATGGTCTTCAAATTACATCTTTGAAATAAGAGATTACATCTTGATGTGAAGTGAGGAGAACATGAAGGAGAAACTTAAAACCAGGCGAGGACCTTGTTTTTCCACACCTCCCGTAGTTTAACATTTCACCCTGCTGCAGTGACGTACAGTAGAAGTGTACTCCAGGGTGTATCAGTTCACTCGAGGTGTGATCGAAGGTGCAACAGACTTAAAACTTTAAAATTTTGCTCATTTGTGTCAGCAAAATTTTAACTACAAACCAATAAATCAATAATCCAGAGAATAGATCTGTATCTTATCAACCATATTTAAAAACAAGATAACAGAGGGTCACTTGAAAAAAAAATGCTCATTCAAAAAAAAATAATAAATAGAAGGTCACATCCCTTCATCCATTACAGTGTGTACCTTTAAAGTCTGGTAAATGGGCGAATGAGTTGCCAAGGCAGATAACAGCATCAAAGCCATCCCCTGGTTTCTGAATGTCTTCTGATAAAGACAGCCAGTTGGCCTCTTCAATAACTGCAGATAAGAAAGAAACAAGAGGCCGAAGAGACAAGGAAAAAACATAAAGATGTCACCTGAGGAACGGTGCAGGAATCTGATCCGATATTCCATCTGGGAATACACCAGATGTACAATATCATGCTGAGTTTATCCAATTAAAGACAACAGAGTATGTAACTGGTAACATTATATAATATGTAACATACTATGTAACATTTTTCAAACATTCAAACATCACAATTCCATCTTGACAGAATGAAAAATTTCATACCCCACTGATCAAAAGCTGGTTCTTTTCTACGCTCCCATCTCGCCTTCAGCGCGTACTTGAGCATTTTGTCGCTGGCATCCACACTCACCATATTAAAGCCCTCCTCCACCAACATAATGGAGTCAACTCTACAAAATAAAAAAATAAATGCTCTGTAAACTTACACACAAAAAAAGTCAACCATCACAATCTTAGCTAATAGCACAGACACTATTTTGCACTACAGTAAAGTGAGATAAGCATTTGCGACATGTTGGAAATATGACTTTCTCAAAAAGGATTTAATCTTGCATCAAGAGTAGGAGCGATATCTGCATTAAGATGAAAAAAATTATGTTTCCTGCCCTAAAACTATAGTTGAACGCGTCCCAGCCCTGCGTCTGTGTCCCAGCCCCATCAAACCGGTTTGAACAAGTCTGAATAAGAATATGTTCACGTTGAACCTACATCAGGTGGTTTATTCTAGCAAACACTGTTTGCTCATTGGCTGTCTACCAAAAAAAAATTAAAAAAGAAAAAAAGGTGAGCGCAAGAATGTCATACTACAGACAGGGAAAGCCTTTAATGTTTTACAGGTATTAGTTGTGATAGTTGATATTTGATAGCCAGTAGCTCCTTGTGTTTATAAAGCAACACAGTCTGAACTGAAGCTGGTGGGTTTTGCCTGGAGTCCTCTCGGAGTGGTTAAATGACAGATTGCAAAAACACTCTCCAAACAGTAACTAGTTGTATGTTAATGTTAAACAATATTCAAGAATTACAGACAATTTCAAACAAAAGAATCAAATTGAGGCAGAGTCCAAGTTAGAAAATAAGCAAGAGCAACACAGGAGCGAGATTCAATGGACAGTGACCTAAAAAAAAAGAGAAAAAAGTAGTACACTACAATCGATAACAACAAGTGGGTAACTGCAAGGTAATATACAACTGCAAATTGCAAATAAACAGTGTGTATGCAGTAAGACGAACACTGGGTGCAATTTTAGCTCAAGTTAAACTTGAAGCTAAGTCATGCTTGAAGTTAAGTTAGCTGTTTCTACAAGCTCTGATTCACTTGCAATTGTGCAACATAAATCTCAAGGCAAAACAAAAGCAGATTAAAAAAAAAAAAAAATCCTCTATGATTCAGACTAATGCTATGAGTCTGCAAGTCATGGTGATTATACACAGCTTCAACCACCAAACCAGAATCTGCAGGTTCTTCTTCTCTTGCATAAGTTGCCACTGACTCTGATGACAGAACAACTGGAGAGCGCCCATACGCACACTTTGACAGCCATAAATAGCCGGGCCATTTGTAACCTCATTCCAATATGATCGTGTTTACATCGCCCCAGATGGTCATTCAGACACACGACTACTATGGAACGGGGTCAAAGTCAGTGTACTAGTTTTCTCCATACTGGTTGAACACATCCACACCACCTCTGTCTCTGTGAGATAAAAAGCTTTACAATGTTTGTATATGATTATGTTGTTGAGCAAGACCCTTATAACCCTATTTATCAGCCAAAAGGTCAAGACTTTTTTGGTGTAAAGTCCTGTAGTAAATGATAATGTTACAATTCCTGCACAATTTCTCCCAGATAAAAAATAAACAGTTGATGTTAACTGAGGGGCTTGGCAGACAGGTTATAGTGTGATGTCTTGTTGTCTGAGCTAAGTCAATGGCCTTGTTGCTGTCCCAGATCCCAGATACACTATCAGTGGAAGTAAACAGACTGCAGGGAACCAGTCAAAACTCACTGCAGCAACCCAACACCGGCTCATCAACCACTGAACCCTACATCTGGTATTCTGCACAAGCTGGCCTCCAGCTTTACAAACAATACAGGACATGCTTCAAAAGCTGCATAACAACACTGGCACCTTGAAGCTTTTGTTTCAGCCACATGAGCCTTCTTAGTTATAACACGAGATCCCAGGCCCAGACTGCTGCTGGAGGCAGGAACTGGTACAGTGGTTTATGCAACTCTGCACTTTCTTTCATTATTCTCTGGCTTTAATCCGGATTTTGTTCAGAGGTTAACAAGGTCAAAGGGTTGGAATTCCAGTCAAACTGGAAAGTCAAAACTAACCTATTTATCTCTTTATATAACTTACAAAACTTGGATTTTTTCATACTTTAAATCATTGAATTATCACAACTATTTCCAAACAAAATGAGTAATGCAGGTCTCAAATCTACTCCCAGCTTCTTATATTCTCCTATTTAAGACATGGCAACATTCACATTTTACAAAATGAGCTCTATAATGATCTTGGTCACACCCTTTCACAAACCTTCAAGGTAAATATAGTAACAACATTTTAAACAGCTACTCCCTAAATGAAAATGCAAGCCTTTAAGAATGACTGGGTATCAGTCTTCATATTGGTAGACTCAGTGGACAACTCAGTACATGTTAGCCTGTGTATATAATGCAACTTTTAAAAAGGCATCATCTGTTATAGCCTACCACATTCAGAATAGATAAACCAAATATGCAGAACAGAGGTGGCATTTAATTTAAGCAGTGTATACCTGAAAGTAAGGGCCAATACCGAATTAAAGATTTGATGCTACAAATTTAGAAAAGGAAGTAAAGCTTCATCTGGGTGTGTTCTGTTTGCTGATGTACAAGGATATATATTAAATTGAGGTAACTCTAAATGGAGTTTGGTGAGGGGGTTCACCAAAACCCTTGAAAACGTGCCAGTATCAAACTGCTGAGTCGGCCTGACATTACCCTGTTCCGCAGGCTACATCCAGCACTCTCCGAACCCCATGCTCTTTCAGCAAAGACACCACCCAGCTTTTGTACTCCTGCGTCCTACTCTGCGTATCTCCGATGTACAGCTGCCAGACTTTCGCTGCTTTGCCGTCGGCATACTGATCAGGAAGACCCTCGGCGGCCACACCGAGAGAGCGGGTCCTAAACACGCTGTCGACCGACATACTTCTGCTTCTGCTGCTGCTGCTGCTTGTACCTGCTGCAGTGTTTTCTCTTAGCTTTCACAGCAAACCAATAATGTGTTCGGCTACGTGCTGCTTCACTTGTCTGACAGGTACTGACTACAAATGCTAATCCAAATTTCGGTTGTTATCATTCATATGAGCAAGGTAGGGGTAGAAACTTTAACCCAATGACACCGTGCTGTGGACTGACGCCTACTTTCTGATTGGATGAAGCGACGGGGGCGGAACCCAAATCGTCTTTACGTCCCGGACGTTGAAATTGTATGAATTTTACCCTAACTTTAGACTCTAAGGCTAATTTTTCCAGTTTTGCTGCGTTATACCTTATAGTATTAAATAAATTATGTAATTCAGATACTTTATGTAGACAGCTGATAGGTCATGGTTTGGTTTGAGGTTAGAGGTAAGACTGCTCCACAAGGAAGAATTGGTACACAGCCTGAGATTAAGGCGTTGCCTGTGAGGCTCTACTCAGGGAATAAACATACAATCTGACGTGATGCAGGTCAAACATTTCATCATTTATCATTTCATCTTGCAGCTGGTTGATGAAATATAGCCTACTATTTCTGGAATAGTTTTGTAAAACAGTAATAATGATGTATTTGCAATTTTATGCAACAACAATAGTTAATTGCACAGCACCTACCTAAATGCATAATGAACATGTGATTAATCAAGAAATCATGAAAAACATTCTAGATATATAAACAATATAGATTTGGTGGCAAAAAAAGAATATCTAAAATATGAGCAACATAGAATAAAATTTTCAGGAATCTGACTACCGCACATATATGGAAAACAAACACTGGTCTATTTTATTTATTTTTTCCTCCCTTTCTGTTCTTTTTTTTTCTTGTCACTGTTCCCTCCCAAAAAGTGAACTCCTCCTGTTGTGATTGGCTGAAGTTCATATTTTTACTGGCACAGGTTAGGTTGTGCCAGCCACAGCCGGTGCCAGCCAGGTTGGGTTTGTACCACCTAGTCTTATATTTGTCTTAGCTATACACACACACACACACACACACACACACACACACACACACACACACACACACACACACACAAAACGTCACATATAGGCTCTCAATAAGGTCCACTTATTTAAGTAATTGTGTGCAAAAGTGTGTAAGGAGAAGTGAAATGAAGAAAATACAATTCCTTCAGCAAACAGAGATTACAAATGAGCCTTTCTTCAAATGTTAATACTTTGGTACTAAAAAGGCCTTTGTATGCCTAGCTAAATTGTCATATTATTCTATTTTTTAATTTGCACTCAAACAAAATCTTATAGCAGACCTACAAGGTCCCAAATAAATAATGAATATGAAAGACAAATATGACTTATTTTGGCATGAAATTGTCCAACTTATTATTGTTATTATTATTATGACTCAGATACCCTATGAAATGTGCCTAATATGAATGATTGTTAAATGTTTTTGATGTTTTTAGGTCACTGACCTCAGTGTCACACCGACCCACTGTTGACCTTCTGAGCCACTGTCCATCTGACCCTAACCCTGACCCTAACCAAGTCCTTATATTAAATTTGAGTCAGTACATTAACCTCACACTAACTGTGCTGGAGCCCAGACCCAACAATGTGTCACTGTTCTAATACTTCCTGCCTGCAACAGGACTTCATTTAGGATGATGTGTTCCACGCTTTATTATGACTGTAGTCATTGGTTTCATTAGTTAGAGCATCACATAGTTCATGGAAGATCATTAACTGGTCTGTTTTGTTCCAATTTCTCAGGAACATTATGAGATTTCTGTCACCACTGATGTTCACCAGCATGTTTTCTCTGGTGTTTGTTCATTAACAGCCTCAGTGTTTTCTCATTGACTACAGGCTGGAATTTCTCTTCAACAACACTCTTATCTGGAGTGTATCTTTTCTGTGAGAGAAGAGGAAACACACTTATATAGGCCCAGGCACTGACAGAGATAAGGGCAGCACTCAGTGATGTTCAAAGTTTCCCCTCCTGCTTGTATAGATTACTTAGAGTTTACAAATGGGATTTTATGGGTCACCTATCAATCAAGTTAACCCCTGTCAGTGCAGTTGCCATTTTAATAGACAGAATATCAATAATGAACTCTTTGTTTCTTGCACAGTGGGGGCTGTCTGCTCTGCTGTAGCTCACAGGGAGTAATTGGTCCATGGATGGTTGGTTAGGCACTATCAGCAAAATATACTGTATCTCTATAGTAAAATAGTGGTTGCAGTATAAAAAGATATACACTGAGACACTGTGATAGTAAACCCAATGATTTTGTGTTTGTGAATTGCTTGATAAGTACAGATTTGAATCTCTGAGAACAGTGTGTTGAATCTGCAAAACAAAGAGGTCATATTCTTCCTGGCCATATGAATCAGTTTTGGTATGACCCACTTATCCTTTCAAAGAGAGCTTGGCTTTTTGTGTCTAAACTGTTTGTGTCATACTAGATAATGTATAATGTATAATCGTATTTCAAGGATTTTCCTGCCCAGCGAAAGTAGCATAAGTATCGACATAATGGACAGAATTTGGACTGATTTCACTTTTTTTGAGAGTCCAACAGTGGACAAGACAGAATCACATTTTAATTTTTTTTTAGAATCTCACTGTGCAGTTTCAGTGGTCAGTAGATGAGTAATTACAATGAAAAAATAGAATAAAAATCTGTCTTCTTGGTACTTTCATGATCTTTGTACAGAAATCCACGGACTTAAAAACCACTTTGAAACCAAATAATAACATTTAACTTCATTGTTAACTAAACATGCCATGACAGTCTGACCATGAACAGATATAGTCTGAAACCAATTTTCTGAATATATTAGAAATTAAATAACACAAGTCTAAATAATTGTACTATTAATTTCCTTGTGCTTTTTCCTTTTGTGACTTCTAAGTAGTACCCACTTAAGACTCTTCACAGGTGCAGTGAAAGTAACAAATACATAAATAAACACTTATATATGCTTTCAACTACATTATGGGGTGTTATAACCCATATTTTACATGGTTATATACTGCTTCTGTATGATGAATAGGGGAACTTTACTTGTTACTGCAGTTTGTTCAATAAAACAGCAGATGGCGCACTAAGAGCAAAAATAACGACAAGACTGGAGCATTGATGTGAATGACCTCAGATTTTAGCGTCACATAAATGACCACAAATGACACGAGAAATCCCTCTCTGGTTCCTCTATTTATAAAAAAGTTTGTGTTGAAAAGAACACAGTACATTTACTCAGGTATTGTATACAAAATTTGAAGGAACTGGCACTTTACCATGGGATTTAGGTTTTAATACTCTCTTTTTACTCATCTGGTGTACATTACTTCAGAGTTGCTTTGCAGATGAACATTTCACTTCAGAAACACATGCCAAGGTCATAAAATTAGAACAGACTTTTGAATTGTGTTTTTCCCTTTATCACTGCTTTTAATGATTCATAATAGCCAATAATCGAATATATTGATAATAACATATTTGATTCACCATGCATTATCTACATTCACAATACTTCAAACACGACACAACACAGAGACTTAAAACAGTACAGAATATGCAAGTCTCCTCAAACTATAAATGTTAAAGGGCCAGTTGGAGTCATGTTAACACTCAATATTATCCACAGCAGCAGTAGCAGTAGACTGTTGACTGGAGTTTTGTTCTCTGCGCTTCTGACGCTTGACAACATAAAGCTTCACCACAATTATTAACACTACCACAGCCACAGCAACAAAAATCCATACCCGTACAAAACCCCCAGCAGTTGGAGACGAAGCCTTCAGAGTATTGTTATTGGTAACAGGTTTGACAAAACTGTCAGTGACAGGCGTTGTGATGTCATTGACATCTGCTTTGATGCATTTCACTTGATCTTTAAGGACAAATCCTTCTTTACAGGAGCACACAAAACTTCCAAAAGTGTTTTTACAGTGCTCCTGACATTGTTCCATTTTACATTCATCAATGTCTTCACAGAGTCGATTTTCATTAATTATATAGCCATCAGGACAAGAGCATGAATCAGAGTTTAAGTCACATATCGTGGGGCAGGTCTGTGTATCACAGTGGATTTTGCACCGGTTAGGGTCTTTGCTGTCTGGAATAAATCCACTGAAACAAGAGCATTTATAACTTCCTTCTACAGCCGTGCATTGATGCTCACAAGGGGCTGTCTTACAGCCTTGAGAGTTGAGCAAGACTTTGGAATCTGATAATTCCTGTGCCTGGCATGCATCTTTATGCTTTGTTCTGCAGAGATATCCATCAGTTTTGTCCGTGCACAGTCTCTCTGTCCAACTTTGGTCGTTTGAAATTGACACACAGTGTGGAGAGCAGACTTTAACGCTGTCTTTCCAGGTGCTGAAGGATGGAATGAAGCTCCCGTGTGTGCTACCGGAGGTCCACTCGTAGCCTCTGAGTTGAGCTGAAAGGTTGCTACAGGCACCGACTGGCAAACGCAGTCCGATCCAGAAGTTTCCAAACAATTCTGCACTCAAATTGTCAAGGATCCTCTCATCTGTCTGAGGCTGAAATGTCATTAGTTCTCCATTCCTGACACGGCACGCGTCCTCGGCCGTTTCAAAATCCACTCTGTCTTGGTTAACAGTTATGCAGTCACTCCCCGTACAAATGGGCCTGCAGATGCCAGTCTGCTTCATGCCAAATCCTGTATTCACGGACAATAAAAAAATAACTGACATTAAAATAACCATCATCATTGTCAGTTTCAAACAGGCCATGATGTCATGTGGTAGATCATCGTACAATGTCGGCTGGTGCAGTTATGGACAATCTACAATCTGTTACTCCGGAAGCAACTCCCCTCAGGATAAGGCCAGGAAGTTAAAACAGGAAGGAAATGGGTTTGAGTTAGGCTCCTGTTTTTTTTTCAAGGTTAGTGAAGGCAACAGAAATACCTGAACAAGAACATATTCATGTTTCAGAACAAACTATTTATTTTGTTTTCACATGTAACATAAAGCATGGCTTTATCTTGATTCTCTGGTGTACATGTATTAATCATTTCATCATATTTACAACAGCATAATCTGATGTGCAAACTCCTTCCAGGAAGTAAAATGTGTTCAAGTGGTTTTGTGTACAAATACATTTATCTAGCAGTGGTGGAAACATTTACATAAGTGCTGTTTTTAAGTCTGAGGTACTTTACTTGAATATTTCCATTTTATACTACTTTGCTCTTTCCTACATTTAAGATTCAAATATTGTACTTTTTACTTATTTTTATTTATTTATTAAACAGCTAGTGTTACCAATTCATTTTTATGTCAAGATTTTCCAAACACATTTGATAAAATGTGATGCATTGTTATAGATGAACCTGCTCAGCAGTATATGAAGCAGTTCAAATTAGCTTCATTAGCTCAACCAGCTAAAGCATTAAAGTACCAACATGTTAATGCATCAATGATAATGGTCCAATCATATAACAATATAACAACGAGAGGGGAATAACTGCTAACAAGCACTTTTATTTTTAATACTTTAAGTGCTTTTTTGTTAATACTTGTATTTTTACAGTTGCTACTTTTAGAAAAAGTTCAGAATAATGCTTCCACCACTGCTTTATGATATTAAAAGTTGGAATAATGCAGTAAAGACAACATGTTCTTGGGCCAGGAGGTGATCACAGGGTTAGCGAACAGGACAGTACATACATTACTCAGTTGGTAATTTGGCTATTGGTAAAATAGCAGAAAATGTGGCCAGTTATGACAAGACAAATTACAAACGAAGGTTGATCTTAACATTGATATGCTCACTTTTGAACAGTACATCCTGGTCCAACTTCCTCTCAGCTTTAACCAGCCACGAAAATAACATGCACCACCAAAACCAAACAATCAGCTCTCTACACACAGTCACCCTCATCATACAGAGGCCCCCACCCCCCTTCATAACAAGACTTAACAATACCTTTCTTTTTTTTATGTTTCTGCTCTATACAGGTACTACGTCTTTTTTTTTTTTATATGTGAGCCACATCAAACACAAATCGTCTGATCAACAATAAAGTCTTTTTCAGATTTTTGATTTGATGTGTATTAATTTGATAACAGCACATAGCCTAACCTACAGAGGTTGAAAAAACATAAATTAGATAAATAAACATAATCCATGTAGTCTTCTCCTTAACCATCAGGTCATAGATCATCAGTCAAGATGGACTCGTATAGTTTTTCTAAACGTGGATCCAGACCAGAGGACACCCAACAGTAGCCGTCAGTAGTGGTGTTTTTCTTGGCTTCTTTTTTGGAGCGACTGCATCGAAACACTGCAATAGCCAAAGTCACTGCAGCCAACACGAGCAGAGGAATGACTGAACCAAGGATGCAGATCATTAACCCGGAATTGACAGTCTTGACAAAACCTGTTGCTGAGGATGTGTTGCTCCCCTGAACCCTGTGCGTGACATTCACCAGGTCTGGAAGTGGTGGGTCAGTGTGAGGGGACTGGTGCTGGAGCTCAACTGTGGTTCTGGTTAAGGACTCAGTCAAGTTCTCCTGTGTTTCGTTCTCAGCTGGGTCATTTGGTGAAGTAGCTGCTGTTTCTGTCACATCTGGAGCACAACTTGTTCCATCAGTCTCCAGATGGAAGCCCTGCGGGCACAAGCACGCGAAGCTGCCTACAGTATTGTTGCATGTGAACTGACAGTGTTTATTGATGCATTCATTTATGTCTACACATGTGTGGCCATCCTGGGATAAAGTGAAGCCTTCATTGCAGGAACAGAAGAAGGATCCAATAGTGTTTAAGCAGATGTGCTCACATCTTGATTGTGCACACTCATCCACGTCACTGCATATACCATGGATCAGTTTGTAGCCGTCTTTACATGTGCACATGTAACTGCCGTGCGTATTTACACAAAAATGATCCTCACAGGCTTGTGACTGGCACTCATCAATGTCCGAGCAGTTGTGCTGGTTTTCGTCCAGTTTGAACCCATGTGGACATTTGCATGAATAACCTGACTCCCCCATTACGCACTTATGCTCACAGGTGTCAACGTTGCACAAGTCTTTTATCCTGCAAGAGACTCCATCCTCATCCAGGTCATAACCTTCTCTGCAAAAGCATTGAACTTCATCTCTGTGCTGATGGCACAAATGTTTGCATCCACCTTTGTTGATAGTGCAATTTTGCTTTCCTGTTTTGCAAAATGGACCAGGGTCTGTCCACCTATAGGTACCGTCCACCTCTTTGCACAAAGAGAAATGAGACTGTTCGTCACTACATACAATATTGACATATGTTCCCAGTGGACATGATTTCATTTCACTACTTTCTGGCTTTTCTGAGAAGGGTGCTGTGTAGGTTATTTGTCCAGGCCCCAGGAGGGCCAGAGGTTTGCACATTCCCTTAAAATAAAACTTACATGCATAAAAAGCAGGGCTTTTGCATCCTCCAGCAGTCCATTTGAGTTGATTCTGACCTAATGTGTAATGAACCCTTACGCATCTGTCCTCTGTGCAGGTGGGGTCAGGTTCTTTTCCCCAATTGGAGTAGTGGGAATCTCTCTCCCCAGATATCCACTCAAACCCCTGGAGAGTCTTGTCAGCCAACACGCAGGTTCCTCTGCTCAGTTTTAACCCAATCCAAAATTTTAGTGCCCTGTCCTGATGTCGTCCTTGAGTCTGTGTGAGAAGTGAGCGCAGGACATCCTCTTCTTCTCTGTCTCTGATTGTCATCAGATTACCTCCATTGTGGACACAGTCGTTGCTGGCCTTTGCAAAGCTCACCCTGTCCAAATGTAGGGTGAAGCAGGCGTTAGAAGTGCACAGAGTCTCATGTTCAGCTCCAGACAAACCCTTAATGCTGTTGACGAGCTGCAGTAGAAAAATCCACAACATAATTGCTCTAGAGATCAACAAATTAACTGGTATCCAGAGGGTCCCTGTGAGTTTTTGGGTAAAATGGGACCAATATGTGGTTGTCCATTCGTAGCCGAAAAACAAGTGCTGTGGGTCTGAAACTAGCAGTCATGCTCCTATATCCTGTTTGGGTCACAAACTAAAGACGGAAATCATGTTTAGCAGAAGCTACAAGCTCTTTCTTTCTCCCCTGCAGACCAGTTCCGTTTTAGAAAACTTAACAATGGCAGGCTCCGCCATGTTTTGACTGGTTCTCCAGATGTCTCCGGTCCCAGTAGGCTTTAGGCATTTAAGCTGACTCCCTTAATTGTGGTGCGTTACAATACATGAACTTGTGGGGGTCAGATCCCTGGGGACACTTTGACATTTACAAATAGACAGTGTGGATAGAGGCGCGACGACTGCTGCAGGGAATGACCCTATGACCTTTGCCAGAAGTCAACCTGGACTTTTTCTTCTACAGCTCAATCAGGACAAAACTCAGATCATGGTCATTGGTTCTGAAGCTCAGACAGAGAAATGTGAAGTTGCAAATCCTGGCACTACACTCAAGTGTACAACAAGTGAAAAGCAAATAGGAGTCAGATCTTTGTTTTGAGCCTAACATTAGAATACCAATATACCAGTTTTAAAGTGTCTGCTCTGGCTACCTGTCTGCTTCAGAATTTATTTTTTTAGATCATTTTATTGGTTTATAAAGCTCTTAATGGTCATGGTCCTACCTATTTATCTGATTTGCTTTTATACGATAAACCTTCTGGGACCCTCAGGTCTTCAAGTAGTGGTCTTTTAGTTTCAACCCAAAGTCTCAAGGAGAGGCAGCCTTTTATTACTATGGTCCACGTCTCTGGAACAGTCTCCCTGAAGACCTGAGGGCAGCTGAGATTTTTAAATGCAAAGTCAAGACCTATCTTTTTAGTCTGGCACTTAATTGAATTTGAATTATTTGTCTATTAATTTGTACATTTTAGGCTGTTTTACTGGTATGTCCTGTAATTCTATTTTTATTTTCCAGATTGTTTCTTTTTAATATCTGGCTTTCTATTTCTGGTTTTACTTACTTCAATACATCTCCCCTCTCTTTTAGTATTTAATTATTTTATCTTTGGTATTTGATCTTTATCTTTGGTTTCCTGTCTTTGACGTTTCCTCTTTGCAAATTTATGAGATTCACGATAGTGCTTCCTCAGTTCCTGTTATTATGGTTTTATTTTTTTTTCATAGTTTTTTTATTTATAACATAGTCATATATTGGTCTTTGCTTGGATGGGGGTGGAGGTAATGTTTTTATTGCTTTTATTCTGTAAAGCTCTTTAAAGCTTGTTACATTGTTTGTATGAAAAGTACTATACAAATCTGATTGATTGATGTATTGATTGATTTACAGTAGTAGTAGTCATCATCATCCAGTAATCATCAAATGTCATAAATCATTGATTACCTCATTTGCACATACAGGTACATATTGTGCTGTTAACTGTGATCATGAGTAAAGATAAAAAACTTTTTGTGATTCACTTGTGTGGATGTGGTGTGTAATTGCAGTAAGAGATTAGGTATGAGTGTATTTTATAAAGAGTGGCACAGGATATGCTTTGTGGGAATTATGGGAGAGAGTTGGACTACACTTTAAAAAAAGAAGAATGATGATCCTTCATTCACATGCATCAAAACACCAAACCCAAATGACACCTTTTTTGAAAGCATATATCATAACTGAATACATAAATACAGTACATTAGTTAATCCATTGCTTTGTACTTTTGTTCCCATATCCAGTGTGAGGTTTGCGTCCTCTCTCAACCTAAGTAGCCCTCTCTTGATGAGGACCGACAGCCAGGCAAACCCAACTGAAACAGTGATTATGAGCAGGAGATAAACTGATTAACCTCTATAGTTCAGATTACAAAGTGGATTTGGACCCACTTGTGTTTACTGAATGTACTGTTTAGGATGGCAATAAGTGCCAAGGACATTCATGCAAATCTAAACATTTCCTGCATTTGTTTAATCAGGAAGTTCCCCAGTAACAATAACAGGAAGGAGAGTAAGACACTGCTCCACCCACTGAGGCTCACACAGGCAGTAAAATCTCTGCAGAAAGATATCTATCTAATATGAGATTGATCATATCACACTAAATATTAGGTTAAATGTTCCATGTCCTCATTGTCTGTTTTTTATGAATTCCCAGTCACATCATTACAGTCTAACTCGGGCCATAACATACAGCAGCTATGAACAAGATGGACATAAGCTCTATTTAAGAAGAAATACTAGTCAATGCAAACACTATGGCACAATGGCTTACCTGTGTGCACAACTAAATATATGTGGTCATAAAAGAGAAGAAAGCCAAATGACTTTTCTCTAAACCCCTCCCCCAAACAGTGACTGTCAAATCATAGGATATATATATACACCCACCCACCCCTCTTCACTTCATGTGCAATTACATCTCTCCTCAGACCTGTGTCAGCTTGTTCATGCTGGTGTTCTCTCCACGTACAAATAAAATTATAGAAGTACAGTACAGTTGTGACAAACAAAACAACATGAGCAAAACAGATCAGTATTTATGATATGATCTTAATTTCTAACAAGAAACAATCAAAAAAAGTAGATTTTTGTTAAAGAAGTCGACTGTAATTTTATCTTCACACAATGTGAATTATAGGATTATTCCCATTACTTTGAAAGGGTCATTTTATTGGTCCCTTCCCTCTAGTTTTTCCTTGGCATGAACGGATGTCCAGGTGTACCATTCAGATAAAACAACCGTGACACTTAGTGTTGATGTGAAGTACATTATGTAGACAACATTTCCTGTATTTGTTTAAAGGCAGGATATACTGTGACTTCAATCACAGGAAAAAGAAGTAGTCTCTCTCTCTCTCTCACACACACACACACACACACCAACACACACACACACACACACACACACACACACACACACACACACACACACACACACACACCTTGGTTACAGCCCAACTCAAAGAAATCTCTATAAACACATGAGACGTATCCCTGCACAACATAAATTACGTAGATACCAGTCCTTCATTGTCATATTTCTTAGTTTTTCTTTAATTATTTAAAAAGTTTTACTTTAATAAAGACCACTGAAGGGGCGTCGAGTAGCTCAGTTGGATGAGCATCTGCCCCATGTGTAGAGGCTACAGTCCTCGCTGCAGTTGGCCCTGGTTCGAGTCCCGCATCAGACAGCCCTTAGCTGCATGTCATTCCCCCTCTCTCTGCCTCCCCATTTCCTGTCTCTCTCTACTGCACTATCAATAAAGGCCCAAAAAAAATAAATAAAGACCACTGAAATATATTCTCTTTTTATATAATTTTTTCCAGCCAGCAACAGAGCCTCTACTGCTAATTATATCACTTAAAATAAATCATAAATTGTTTGCTGTATGATTTACATCCATGTTAATTATAGAGGCTCAAATCATGTGTAAGTCACTTACTTCATTGTAATTAGATATTGATATGTGAATTTATCATTTCTGGAATGTAATATCTATTTGTGAAAATGTGTTTTTGGTAAAGTAAACGTGATAATTGTGCAGAGGGTGGTGTCGGAGTAAAATTCTTTGGTAAGATAAATCCTAGGGTTTTATTATGCTCTGAGCATTAAACTGTTAAGAGATGGTAGTATTACAGAGTATATTTGCATTGGATGAACATTTTTCACAAAGATGTGAAAAATGATCTTAAGAGATGTTGGAAATACAGTCTAAAATCAAAAAGGTGTTGTAAAGATTATGGTGCTGAACAAAACGTATAAATATCATAAACCTTTCTTTGTCACAGAACTTATTTACTGCTATAATAAAAAAAAGCCAATGTAAAAATCTCATTGGCTTTTTGTAAAGGGAACCAGGGTGATACTAATTTCCGGGTTGGCCTGTACAGAAACACGTCATCTCTGCAGAACTCACATAATATGATCTAATATAATTAGATTATTATGACTCATTCATTAATGTGTTAACAACATTTTACTGTTGCAGCTGGTTGAGGTGGCTGTGACTATTTTTATTATGGGTTAATCTCTTTATTTTTTACTTGATTAATCGATTGATTGTTGGTTTTGTAAAATTGAAAATAGAAAGAAATACCCATCACAATTACACAGAGCGCAAAATTACATTTTCAAAGTGACGCTTTAAAATCATTTAATTGTAATTATTATAATAATTGTAAATTTCGCCCTGATGGCAGTGCTAGATAAAAAGTCAGGGGGTTGTCAATGTTAACAAACACCATGAATCTACAATCATTAGGCTTGATCCTGTGGAGACCATGAATGTTGGGATATTACACTGCATATGTGGAAATACTGACCTGTTGGTGACGCTAGATGAAAGGCCAAGAGATTACCAAAGTCATTATGAGTTGCTTACAAGCCAAGATATAAACCATTACTGATATAGCTGTGATGAGCCAATGATGACCCAGATACACGCACAACTGAAAATTCCAAAATAGAGGAAATATGGTTTCAGATGACTTTGCTGGTGCAGTTTGTACAAGCAGAATAGGTCAGGTATTTCTCCCCATCACCATGTGTCATGTAATATTGCCAAAAGTTGTTGAAGTCAACTGAACAGGTTTGCCTCTGTCATCAAAACCTCCAAACCTACTCAAAAACCTGTTGCTTCTGCCAATGCTTGAGGCATTTTGTTGCACATAGTTTTGTGTAATTGCTGTCTTCATGATGTAAAACAGCGAAACGTGAAAAATTAAAGATGTTATCTCATTGTACAATTGTACAGTGTTGTACTGTCAAGTTAAGGGGGGATGACAGGCATGTAAAAACATGTCTTTTGATAACATATCTGTGCTAACATCACCATAGCGACTGTTTCAGTCATAGTCTTGGAAGTTCATGTTAAGTTTTCAGTCATGCTAGCAGCGTGGGATGGGGCAGGAACGGCACTGCCAGTCTGTTGTTGGGTCAGTTCACCGCATTAGTCAGGACCGAAATATCTCAACCATTGGATGGATTGCCTTGAAATTTGGTACAGACATTCATGATGCCCCTAGAAGATTCATCCTTGTAACT